CTGGGCCCTGGTTTCCACCTCTGTGAAAGAAGGCTGGACAACACGGTCCCCCGGCCTTTCCCCACCAGTCGTCCAGGGATCCCACACCTAAGCCTCCAGAGCACATGGACACAGGATGAAGTTCCACCAGGGACACCAGAATCCTAGGGCAGTGGGGAAACCTGGCAAGGAAAGTCAGCTGTGGGATCGGAGCAGTGCTCCCACAATGAAGGCTATGCTGGCATCAGGTCCACCCTTGCAAAAAGGTGTGGGGGATAGAATCTCCCCTCCAGCATGCATGAGATGGGCTGGGGGTTAGACAAGACACATGCTGGCCACGTGAATGTGTCTTCCCTACAAGCAGGTGAAGATGATTTATAAACCAAAGACCCCGGAGTGCTGAAGAAGAGCAGTCAGTCTCCAGCACCCTGCATCTTGCCAGGAGACGAGGCTATTTCCAAGGAACAGGAGCCACATGAAAACGCGCAGCCATGTAACCTACTGAGCACCCACTGCCAACCCCACTGAGGCCCCTACACCTCCCTCCCACAACTATTCAAAGTGCTTGAAAGACCAAGGTTTTAAAAATTCTACAGCAAGGTGTAATTTACTTAAAAGGAATGGGTTCTTTCTCTTTCTTCTTCTTTCTTTTTTTTTGAAACGAGTCTTGCTCTGTTGCCCAGGCTGGAGTGCAGTGGCACCATCTCAGCTCACTGCAACCTCCGCCTCCCAGGTTCAAGCGATTGCCCTGCCTCAGTCTCCCAAGTAGCTGGGACTGCAGGCATGCACCACCATGTCTGGCTAATTTTTGTATTTTTAGTTTCAACAGGGTTTCACCCAGTTGGCTAGGCTGGTCTGGAACTCCTGATCTGCCTGCCTCAGTCTCCCAAAGTGCTGAGATTACAGGCATGAGCCGGCGTGCCCGGCTGGAGCAGGTTCTTATAAGAGGCATGAGTCATCACAGATAAAGGAAAGACCAGCAGATGGAAACGGCACAGGCGAGGGTTTGGCAGACTCAGGAACAAAGGCACCCGTGTCACCCTCACAGCTCAGGAGTGACTCGACCCTCCTTCGATGGGGAGAGAACAAAAGCCAAGACAGAGGCACACAGCTGTAGTTTGGGTGGGCCCAGGGTAACCATCTAATGAAGATGGGAGGCGTGACGGCCAAGAAGCACGCTGTGAGGGTTTTGGCCAAAACCAAATGGGGGGGCTGTTCATATGCCTAGATCCGTGACCGCCGCAAGGCCCCCACCACTTCAGCGTTTGGGCAACTGCCTGTAGTCTTAACACTCGGCTTTCCTGACCATAGAGATTTACAGAAGCCCCAGATGCACCCTGCCTAATTTCTGACCGCGGCTGCATCTAGACCAGGGAGGTACAGCGTATGGGAAACATACTCTCCTCTCTCCGGCGTCCACAGCAGACATCACAAATTAATCGTGGCACTTTCCCCGCCGAGTCCAGGCTTAACCTCAGATTAATCCCCCTTAACCCGGAGCTCCAAATAGCCTGGGCTTATTGATCAGTTGACAAGCTAGAGATTCAATCCAGGTTCACATCTTCAACTTCTGCCCCATCGAAATGGTGCCCAGCATTTCTTATTCGTCAGCCACACCCATGTTTGGGGACTTTTCCCAAAGAAATAACAGAATTTAAAAAAATGATAACATACATACTCAGAGATGTTCATTGCCAGTAAATACCAGGCTGTTTCCATTTTTCAGCAAAAGTTGGGTAAGTAAGTAAATAGTACCCACGTAACACTTCCTAACAAGGAACCTATTATACATGGCATCTTTCTGAACTTTCACAACTCCAGGTGTGAGGTATCATCATACACATTTTTCAGATGAAAAAACTGAGGACAAAGGAAGTGAAGTGGCCAGGAGATCACAGGACTGACTCCATGCCAGGAGGAGGCACACACACACACACACACGCAGGCATGCACATACAGGCATGCACACACAGACATACACATATATACACGCATGCACACACAGGTACATAGAAACATAGGTATGCACACACACATGAACATGCATGCATGCATGCATACATACATATACACCTGCATACACATACAGACACATGCAGGCACACACATACATACATGCACACACAGGTGTACACAAATATAGGTATGCACACACCCACACACAGGCATGCACACACCCACAAGGGTGCACATACATATGCACATATGCATCACACATATCCACACTCACACACAGGAGTGCCACACATACACATATACACACACACAGGCACACACACCCATAGAGAGGTACACACACAAAATCACAGACTTACATACGCTATACTACCTCCACTTACAAAATAATATTTGGCCATTACAATTATAAAAACAGACCAGGCACAGTGGCACATGCCTGTAATCCCAGCACTCTGGGAGGCCCAGGCAGGTGGATCACCTGAGGTCAGGCGTTCTCCACCACTCTGGCCAACACGGCATTTCTATTGAAAATACAAAATTAGCCAGATGCATTGGAACGAACCTGTAGTCCCAGCTACTTGGGAGGCTGAGGCAGGAAGATCACTTGAACCAGGAGGTGGAGGTTGCAGTGAGCTGAGATTGTGCCACTGCTCTCTAACCTGGGTGACAAGAGCAAAATGTCTTCTCAAAAAAAAAAATTATAAAAACAAAAAGCATTTATGAAATGTCAAGAGGAAGGACACAGGCTGTATCCCCGCTCTGCTAAGGGCTGTGGCACGGGCTCTGCGGGAAGGTTTCCTCTGTGTGAGGTGGCGGGTAGCAGCGGCTGGTCACTTAGCTCCTGCATCTTGTCGGAACCCTTTCTGCAAACCACAGCAACTTAAAATGAAACCACCACGGGGAGAAGACTAAGCGTGTGTGCTGGTTCCATAAGGGAATCTCACCAGGCAAGGTGTCTGAGGACAAAGGATGACAAGAGGTGGACAAAAGGGTGCAGGGGTCCAGGGAAGGGGAAGAGAAGCAGGGGAGGAAAAGCACTCAACGCAGGGGCAAGACTTGGAGTGCAGTGAGCCTTCGGCCTTTCACGAAGGCTGGGAAAGCTGTACTTCACATACAAGGAGCTCTCCAGATTCATGTCTTCAGGTTAAGACCCAGACACATTCAAATGGCGCATCTGCGCGGCGCAGGGACTCTGTACTGTGCTAGTGACTGTCGGGAATCACTGCACCAGAGCCTCTGGAAGCCAGCTGCTGGCAGGCGCCTGGGGCAGGTACCAGGCTAGGGCAGGCTGCCCAAGGGCTGGCACTGGTCTAGACTTTAGTGGAGGGCAGCCAAGTCACAGTCCACTGGGCAGAATTCTTTGCTTATTAAGATGGCTTCATTTACATGCCCAGCCCAAACCCAGGGTGCAGGGATCTTTCTTTTAAGCAAGGTCTTGCTCTGTCGACCACACCTGAGTGCCACTGCATCCCCACAGTGGTGCGATCACAGCTCACTGCATCCTTGCCCTCCTGGGCTCAGTCTCCTGAGTAGCTTGGACTATAGGTGCAAACCACCATGCTCAGTTGATTTTTTAAATTTTTATTTATTTATTTATTTTTTTGAGACGGAGTTTCGCTTGTTACCCAGGCTGGAGTGCAATGGCACCATCTCGGCTCACCGCAACCTCCGCCTCCTGGGTTCAGGCAATTCTCCTGCCTCAGCCTCCTGAGTAGCTGGGATTACAGGCACACGCCACCATGCCCAGCTAATTTTTTGTATTTTTAGTAGAGATGGGATTTCACCATGTTGACCAGGATGGTCTCGATCTCTTGACCTTGTGATCCACCCGCCTCAGCCTCCCAAAGTGCTGGGATTACAGGCATGAGCCACCATGCCCGGCCGGTTTTTTTAAATTTTTTTGTAGAGCCAGGGTCTCACTATATTGCCCAGGCTGGTCTGGAACTCCTGGGCTCAAGCAATCCTCTCACTTCAGCTCCCCTAAGGGATTTTAACCTCTTTAGAAACAGATGCGGACCCACTGATCTCATCTCAAATCTTCCCAGGGCTCCTCACTGCCCTCCCATTACAGAAGCGCCACATTTCAAGTGGCCTCCGTTCCCCACCACCTGGCTTCTGCCTGAACACTTACCTTGGCTCAAGAACTAGTTCTCTCCAAGCCTGTTTCCTCATCTGTATATTGGGGTCAGCACCACCCTGGCACGGATGAATAAGCCTGGCCCTCTGTACGTGATACCCGATCCCACCATTCACATGCTGCATGGGGGCTGTTTATCTTTCAATTGGGCAATTTGTGTTTTAAACATATATAACATGAGGCTGGGCACAGTGGCTCGTGCCTGTAATGTCAGCTCTTTGGGAGGCCAAGGTGGGCAGATCACCTGAAGTCAGTTTAAGACCAGCCTGGCCAACATGATGAAACCCCAACTCTACTAAAAATGCAAAAATTAGGCCAGGCATGATGGCAGGTGCCTGTGGTTCCAGCTACTCAGGAGACTAAGGCAGGACAATCACTTGAACCCAGGAGGCGGAGGCTGTAGTGAGCCAAGATGGCGACACTGCACTCCAGCCTGGGCAACAGAGTGAGACTCCACCTAAAACTATATATATGTATGACATGAGCAACAAGAGGCCGCCCTGGCCTCAGCCCAGGTGAAATGCATCAGGCCAAAAAGGCCCTTCTGGTTGTGCAAATATAGAGTCTTTCCATGAACCACTGGTTTAAGGAAGCATAAACACGCCACATAGAAATAAACAGCTGAAACCCTCGGGAGGCAATGAACAGTCTACGCATGGTCCACAGAGTGCCTGGTGGTAACTTATGCTCTGTAAGGGGGAGGCCCCGTCCCGTACATCTCATCCCATACAGTGGTGCAGGCTTTCCTGGCTGCCAATCAGCTCTCGCTGTTGCTTTCTTTAATTTTTCTTGTTACTGAGATGGAGTCTCATTCTGTCGCCAGGCTGGAGTGCAGTGGCACGATCTTGCCTTACTGCAACCTCTGCCTCCTGGGTTCAAGCGATCCTCCTGCCTCAGCCTCCTGAGTAGCTGGGATTACTGCAACTTCTGCCTCCTGGGTTCAAGCGATCCTCCTGCCTCAGCCTCATGAGTAGCTGGGATTACAGGCATGTGCCACCACGCCCAGCCTAATTTTTGTCTTTTTAGTAGAGACAAGGTTTCACCTTGTCTGGTTAGCCTGGCTGGTCTAGAACTCCTGACCTTAGGTGATCTGCCCACCTCGGCCTCCCAAAGAGCTGGGATTACAGGTATGAGCCACTGTGCTCAGCCTCCTGCTTTCTATCGAAACAGAAGCAGAGATGTGGAATTTCGACCTAGTCCCGGGTCCCCTGAGTGTAACTAGCTTCCACAATTTAACACAAAGAACAGTTACTGAGCATTTTAAAAGCTTCTGTCCTGGTAAAACACAAAGAGCCTACATGAGCAGATTCATTTCTTCATTTCTTAATTAATTTGTTTTTCATTTTGAGATGGAGTCTTGCCCTGTTGCCCAGGCTGGACTGTAGTGGTGCAATTGTGGCTCACTGCAACCTCCGGCTCCTGAGTTCAAGCAATTCTCATGCCTCAGCCTGCCGAGCAGCTGGGATTACAGGAACACGCCACCATGCCCAGCTAATTTTTGTACTTTTAGTAGAGATGGAGTTTTACTATGTTGGCCAGGCCAGTCTTGAACTCCTGACCTCAAGTGATCTACCTGCCTCTTGGCCTTGGCCTCTGAAAGTGCTAAGATTACAGGAATGAGCCACTGCGCCCAGCCCATTTCTGAAGTTTTTAAAATTATTTTAAAACAGAGATGCAGTCTCACTATGTTGTCCAGGCTGGTTTCAAACTCCTGAGCTTAAGCAATCCTCCTGCCTTGGCCTCCCAAAGTGCTGTGATTACAGGTGTGAGCCACTGAGCCTGGTTGCTCCCAGGGCTTAGAAGCCATCGGAATAGACTCCGACTGGCTAGTTCACACCGCCCCTGGCACGTCCGTCCTTCCCACCTCCACTTCTCCTTGAACGCAGCACCCTCTGTTATCCTCCGTTCCTGACCCTGAAAGCTGAGCTGCGTGCCCTCTGGATTCCTGGCTCCGTGAATGTTTGTATTGTGTTAAAGAATGAATAAAAGGATCAAGTGAATGAACCCATTCTGCAAGACAAGCATGTCGCAGCACTGACCAAGCATGGCTCTCAACCGAGAGAGCCTGGCCCTAGCACATCGCAGGCCACTACCAGAGGTCACCCCATTGTCCCCGCAATCCTGCAGAGACAGGAGAACAATGGGACAGAGGTTCTGTCCTGGGCACCAGCCGGGTACCTCGGTGTGGCAGACAACAGCTGTGGCCAGGCAGCCGTGCGTGCTGAGCATTCAGCGCATTCCCCAGACTCAAGTCTGGGCGTCACAGTCGCCAGCCCAGCCTGCCTGGCAGCCCCTGCTGCCCCGTGGCCTTGCTGGCATTTGTCTTGTTTTCCCAGCCACTGCCGCCTCTCACTTTCTCAGGCTCTGAACTAAGGAGACTCAGAGTCGAACCTGACTCTTACTTCTCCCAGGCTCTAGCCCCAGCTCTGTTACTTGTTAGCTGTGAATTTAGGGCAGGTCCTATCACTGCTGTGGGCCTCAGTTTCCCCGTATGCTGATGCACCTGTGTGGCAGGCCACAGGTGAAGTATGAACTGTTGGAGGTCAGCGCGGGCAAGTGTGGGTAAGGCCAGGCCCTTCCTGTCCTGCTGGTGGCTGTGACTTTGGCCCAAGCCATTTACAACACAACTGGCAATATCAGTAAACAGTAAGAGTCATGCTCTGTGCCCTCTAGCTCAGCATCTGTATCCAGCATCTCCTAAGAAAATGATCTACAGGGTAGAAACGTTTCCTGCCAGAACCGTGCGTCACCGTGTTGTCTAGAAGGAAAGCTAGAAATACCAGCTACTGCTTCCGGGTCCCAGAAATGAAGACATTGTTCTTAGCACTTTCCCTATATTTGCTTTTAATCCCCATGGCAATCCTACAAGGCACACACCATATTACTCTTATTTTACACATCAGGTGACTGAGCCCAGAGCGTGTAAGCCATGTGCCCAAGGCCACACAGTAAGTGACAGAGCTGAAATTTAAACCCGTGCATCTGGCTCCGAAGTCCACTGTATCACACTTTCCTCCTTGACAAAGTAACATAAGGTTCATTTAAAGGCAAAATGCCTTCATAAACAAATTTCTCCATGAAAATAAGAGAATTTTCAGAATATGCCAAACTAGAATATGACACAGCGAGTCAACTTACCTGATTCTTCACTTTACAAATGAGGACACCGAGGCCCAGGGAGGGAGAGATTGGTCCATGGTCAGGCGGGTGGTTAGTAGCATAAAGACCCCTCCTCTAAATCTGCTGGGCATGGTGGCGCACACCTTTAATCTCCAGCTACTCAAGAGGCCGAGTGAGGCATGAGAATTGCTTAACCCTGGGAGACAGAGGCTGCAGTGAGCTGAGACTGCATCACTGCACTCCAGACTGGTCGATACAGTGAGATTCTGTCTCAAAAAGAAAAAAAAATTGCCACCCCGGATTCCAGTTCCTCCACATCAATGACCATGCAATGAATTTACACCCTCATATTTCACATAAAGCACGAGAAGGCACATGCACGACTTTTATTAGAACCAAAGTCAAGGGTTTATGAAGACAATAATCCTTAACTGAAGGCCAGTCCCCTTCTTCTTCACATGGAAATGACGGCAAAAAAGCAATCGGGTAAGTGACCCGGTCCCCAAGACATGGCACCCAGAATGGGCCCATAATGGAAGGTCCTCAGAGAACATCGGCTCCGAGTCTCCAAGAGGCAGAGGGGAAGCTAGCTGATGGGCAGGCAGGTCTCAGCGGGGTTTCAGTGGCTGTGGAAAGACAGCATCGTGCCAGCAGAATGGACCCTTTGTAACCCAGATGGCTGTATTTGTAACTGCAGCATGAATGTGGAGTCTTGTAGTAGTTTCAGATAATTTACATTTTTTTTTTTTTTTTTTTTTTTTGAGACGGAGTTTCGCTCTTGTTACCCAGGCTGGAGTGCAATGGCGCAATCTCGGCTCACCGCAACCTCCGCCCCCTGGGTTCAGGCAATTCTCCTGCCTCAGCCTCCTGAGTAGCTGGGATTACAGGCACGCACGATAATTTACATTTTAAAATGGAGATGTGGAAAATGCAAATGGTAATGGTCAACATATGACCCTGCACCTGTGTTCAGGACAGTACTCCAGCCGCCCCCCCGCCCCCCGCACTGCAGTGCACATCTGGGCTTCATTCACCATGAGATCCCTTTCTTCAACAACTGCAATCACAGTGGAGCTTCCAATCATGAAACCCCGCTGCCCCGCCCGGGTTGTGCATCTGACCCAGGCTGGGCCAATCAGGGTCTTCTTAAGAGACTGACTGACACGGAGGAAAGAGACCTCTCTCTTCTGGGATCCTGACCCAGTCGGTACACCGTAGCATGGACCATTTCCTCAGCTGTGCCAAGGCTGCCTGACTCTAAACCCGGAGAAAAACAGAACTGAGAAATGAGATGAAAATACTGCATGAGCCCTCAATCCAGCCACACCTAAAGCCGAAAACCCCTGCACTTCCCGCCTCCAAGAGCCAAGCAATTCTTCCTTGTGCTTCAAGTTACTGGAGCTTGCAAATATGAACTATCACCACTCCTCCCACCTAAAGGTCCCCACCAGGGAATCAACTTCCTCCAACCCTCCCCGGTCACCAGCCCAGTCAACCAAACTGAAAAGAGTTCTAGATAGGAAAGAACCTGCAGACTGCCTTAGTGGGTATAAGGTTTCCTCTGGGGTTGATGAGAAAGTTCTGGAACTAGATAGTGGTGATGGGTATACACCGTTGTGACTCTGTTTAATGATGCTGAATTGTACTTTAAAATGGCTAACATTTATGTTATTGTATTTTACATTTATTTATTTATTTATTTATTTATTTATTTATTTGGCAGAATCTTGATCTGTTGCCCAGGAAGGAGGGGCACGATCTCAGCTCACTACTGCAACCTCCACCTCCCAGGTTCAAGCGATTCTCCTGTCTCAGCCTCCCAAATAGATGGTACTACAGGTGTGCGCCATCACGCCTGGCTGATTTTTTGGTATTTTTAGTACAAACAGGGTTTCATCGTGTTGGTTGGCCAGGCTGGTCTCAAACTCCTGACCTCAGCTGATGTGCCCGCCTTGGTCTCCTCAAGTGCTAGGATTACAGGTGTGAGCCACCACACCTAGCCAGTATTTTACCACAATTTTTTATATGGGAAGAAAAAAGGAATCACAAAACCTGCAATGCGGTGCCCCGTGCCCGCATCCTGGCGAGCGCCCCCTCCCTCTGCTCTCTTTCCTCCGGGCCACGTCCAAGAGCGGGCCGTGCACAGCAGCCGGAATTCAGCAGACCTTTGGCCACGAACCGGACTTCTTTTTCATTTTCCATCCTGCTGCCACTCGGAGGACCCCTGAAAGCTGGTTGACCATTAAAACCCAACTGGCCTGGAGAAAAACAGCCCAGGGGGTTGAATAAGTGCTTTCCCAAAACAAGGGCTCCACGGCCAGGCGGGGTGCAGACAGCAGTGTCCACCAGGAACGCTGACTAGCGTGTGAAACAAATGGCCTTTGTCAGCATTTCCTTGGTCCAGGCACAGCGCTAGTACTGCTCAAAGCCAATCTGACGCCCATACCTCTGAAAAGTGATCATCTTGCCTCTTAACTCCAGAACCCACCTCCTGAGACTGTATTCTAAAGGAATAATTCAACAGAAGACAGAAGGGAGCTGATGTATTAAAACGTTGGCTGGAACATTATTTATAAAAATAAAAATTGGAAGCAACTTAAGAGGCCAGGAACAGGGGAACACTTAGTACATTACGGTACATTTGTGAACCAGGACACTCTGCTACCAGAAAACCATGAATTACAAGGGCGGTGCGGCTTATCATTTACAAAAGTACATTAACCTTTAAAAAAGCAGCTGGAGACAAGAGTGTGACCTGTGGGCTAGGACCACAGCAAAGCCTCTTAGCTCACCACCTTCTCTCATCAGACGGTTGTTTTTATTTTTTTTTATTTATTTATTTAGCGACAGGGTAAGAGGGAGGTCTCTCCCTCACCGACCCTTCCCCAGGTCCCCGTTTTTGGAGTTCAGATTTATTTTCTCAATACAATCCCATTACCTGTACCCCAAGAGAACAACCTTGGAAGATTCTGGAATTGAAAATGTCCATTTTCTTTAATGGCCAAATGGAAAAGACCTAAAGTAAGCACTGTTCAGAGAGGGTACACATGAATTCTCCCATGGGATCCTCGAGACCACCCCTGAAAGTCAGCCAGGACGCCACAAGGTAGTGGCCGCTATTCTGGTGCCCCCACCAGTCCCCTTCTCTAGAAGCAAGCCACCTGCCACACCCACGGAGGTAGGTGCCCAGCTGCCATGCTTCTGTTACGGGATAGGTGGGACCATAAACACAGTTACCTCCTCCTAGCCCACATCTTGAAACAATTTTGGTGACATTTCACCGATGGCTCTACTGGTGCAGAGACTCCGCATGGTTTATCCCAAGTCACAGCTAAGCTACAGACCCAGAGTCTAACCCAGCCCTCTCCATCCTTACAGGATGGTGGCCCTGGGTGAGCTATGACCTCCAGACCCTGGAAGAATTCAGAGAATTACCTGTACGACCTCCTTGACCAGGGTCTTGTCCGTCCCGGTTTTGGCGCGCTGCAGCCCGCTGACGTCCTCGCCAATCCACGTGATGAGGGCGAACTTGGACCTCTTGCTCATGGCATCCCCGGTGGTGAAGCGCACAAAGGCAAACAGCCGGACGTCATCTGTGGCCAACAGCAAGGAGAGGACACGGTGCTCCGTTAAAACAGCCCAATGTGTTTAAAGGACTGCTTCAGCCCAAGAGTCTGAGACCAGCCTGGGCGACAGGGCAAAACTGCCTTTCTAAAAACAATACCAAAAAATTATCTGGGCAAGGTGGTGTGCACCTGTAGTCCCAGCCACCAGGGAGGCTGAGGAGGGAGGATCACTTGAGCCATGAGATTGAGGCTGCAGTGAGCAGAGAGGTCACGCCACTGTACTCCAGCCTGGGTGGCCAGGTGACACCGTCTCACGTGAAATAAAATAAAGTGTGTGTGTGTGCGTGTGTGTGTGTGTGTGTGTGTGTGGCATGTGGGAGCACGTGTACCCCACTAGGATAAAACAAAATTACTCTACATCAGCTCAACTGGCATCTGGGGCTGGATCATTCTCTCTGGTAGGAACTTTCTGTAGGTTGCAGGGTGTTGAGTGGCACCCCTCACCTGGACCCATGAGTTATGACAAATAAAAATGCCTCCCTGCATTGCAGATGTCCCCTAAGGGAGCGAACACCCCTGGGCGAGAACTACTGCTCTCGACAGTTGGTGTCCCCATTGCATCAGGCCGCCTTTTGTGTTTTCCACCAGAGTTCTGTGCCTTATTCCGCTTCCTTCACAAACAGTTCATATCTTAATTGCCATTATCACCAAGATCTCATTACAATCCTAACTGGTGGTTGCTGGCACACAGGGACACCAACGGTTTGGAACCATTCACCTTGTGTTAGCCGCCTGCATCAATGCAGATACCCTCTCAGGGCTCTTAGTTGCTGGCGTGAGGATTTCTCAGGCACCCAGTGACATCGCAGAGCAGTATATGTTTTTCTCAAACCTCATGTGGATTTAAATCACTGGGGAAATCTTCCTGAAATGCGGATTCTGATTCAACAGGTTTTGGGTCTATGCTTCTAAGAGGCTCCCCAGTGACGCTGAGGCTGATGGTCAAAGGACCACGCTTTGAGTTAAAAATAAATAAATAAATGCATCTGCGCTTCTCCCTAGAATCTCAGTGCCTCCCTGCAGGGTCCCACACAAAGCCTGTGAGTTAGCACCAAGACTCAAGGCCACAAACCACCTGTCTGAAGGAGACAAGGCCGGAAGCTGAGAAGTTCACTTCCTGGTGATTATCTCAAAGCCTGAGGGGTTACCAGCTGTACCCTTCAACAGGAAGCCATGCGGTCTGTCCCCGGGAGCTAAGGAACACACGGCTCTCAGCCGTAATCCTAACTCCCGTCCAGGGTCAGGGACTCCACAACACTTACTTCTTAAAGGAAACCAGTCATCATCACCACTCATATTGGCACAGCACTTTTCAGTTTACAAAACATGCTTCTATTTGATCTCATTTGGTCTTTATAACAATGCTGGGAGGTAGATGAGGTACGGCCTTCATAGATAAGGGCTGGAGGCTCAGGGGCCACGTGATGTGGCCAGAGTCACTACACGGTGAGGCCAGGCGAGGCCAGAGTGCACGTGCTCAGCCCCCTTTCTCCAGGGAAGTGCCCCACCAGGCCATGGCCATCTGGGGGTCAGCAGGTAACCAGGCAGCAGGGACAGAAGGAAGGATGGTCTCAGGGACACTGCGCAGGTCAATCAACAGAGCCTGGTTGGACATGAGAAGTGAGGATAGAGGAGTCCAGAGCACGGGAGACCACGAGGGGTGAGAGCCCCACCTCCCAACACCAGGGGACTGTGCCTGAACTCCCAAACCTCAGCCTGGGCTGCCTCACCTGTAAAACACTTCCTTTTCTTTATTGAGATAAAAGTCATGTAACATAAAAGGCACCACGTTAACACTTTAAAATACACATTTCAGTGGCTTTAAGGACACTCTCAATGCTGTGCAAACATCACGACTATCTAATGTCATCACCCCAACGAGAACTCCCCACTCCCCCAGGCCCTGGCACCCACTCCTCTACTTTCTGTCTTTATGGACTGGCCCGTGCTGGACGTGGCAATGGACTCATGCTATGCGGCCTTGGGTGTCCGGCTTCTTCCACTCAGAGTCACATCTCCAGGTCCATCCATGCGGCCGTGGGGGTCAGATCTCCTTCCCTTTCATGGCGGAACCATTCCACTGTGTGGAGAGACCACATTTTGCTTATCGGTCCATCAGGTGATAGACAAGTGGGTTCCTTCCAAAATGGGGTGATTTCACACCTCCCTTATCAGTTGACCCTGAAGACCGAATGTGAGAGCTACAAAACCCACCTGGCTCCTCAGGGTAGAAGCTTCACCCTGAAGCTCCTGACACAGGGCGGGGCTGCCAGGTGGCAGCGGCCGGCAGGACACGGTGCAAGTGAGGGCGGTTCCTTACATCTAAGGTACAAAGGGCGAGGCCACGGCCGGCTGGTGCAGACTGGAGTGTGGGGAGCAGCCTTTCAGCTCAAGAGCGTTTCTGAGCAGTCCCCGCGGTATTTGGGAAGCCAGGGCTCTGTTCTGAGTAGTGTCGCCAGAACATCAACACCAAAGTGCTTAATGAAATGGCAGCCTTGACCCGAGGGGGAGGAGGGGTGCACATCCGCCTCCAAATGCCTTTCGCAAGCAAAAGAACACTGTGAGTCTGTTTCCATGGTAACCACTCTTGGGTTCCCATTTCCACACTAATCAGCCGGGACTTGCATCCAAACTGCCCATCCCTGGCCCAGGCCTCCACGGGGGAAAGTTACCAGCCCTGCTTTGGGCCAACGCAGTTTTCGGGGACCCCGACCATCTGTTCAGTGCAGTGCCAAGCCTTCGGGCTGAGCCAGCTCTCCCAGGCTCTCTCTTCTCCATGTCACCCCCTCCCACTCCCATGGCTCTGGCTAGCTCCTCTGTGCAGCACCATGGCATTGCCAATGTCTTCCCTCCCTGCTGCTGCCAAGTACCTCCACAGCGCCCTCTGAGTCCACCCCTCCCCCTTTCAGACCTCCCAGGTCTATGTGGGCAACATCCTTTCCCCCTTTAGGGTCACATGTTTCTATTAAAGAACCACAAGCAGCCAGGTGCGGTGGCTCACACCTATAATCCCAGCACTTTGGAAGGCTGAGGTGGGTGCATCGCCTGCGGTCAGCAGTTCGAGACCAGCCTGACCAACATGGAGAAACCCCGTCTCTACTAAAAATACAAAAATTAGCTGGGCATGGTGGCTCATGCCTGTAATCTGAGCTACTCAGGAGGCTGAGGCAGGGGAATCATTTGAACCCGGGAGGTGCAGAGGTTGCAGCGAGCTGAGATTGCACCGCTGCACTCCAACCTGGACAACAAGGGTGAAAGTCTGTCTCAAAAAAAAAAAAAAACTACAAGCACTGTCCCTATGTCCCAAGTACCAGCCCAGGGCCTGGCACAAGACAGATGTACAATAAGTAAGTCACACACCCCCAATCCCAAGGCCACTGGGAACCTTCCAGAACCACAGCCTGATGTCATCTGAATGATCGTGGGGGAGCGGGGGGACGAGGGACATGGTTTGCTAGGTTACTGCGGGGTGCTCATCTGACAATGGCTGGTCAATAAGATCGCTGACAGGCCTGTTTTGAAAATCTGTGAGTCACGTTGTGCTTACAAATGTTTGCTGCTGGAGATCTGGCACGAAAGTGACAGGTCAGCTGAGTCTGAGACGGAAAACCTGTTGGCCTATGCACCGTTTCTGCAGCTGCCCAGTAGACTGGAGGCCTCTCCCCGACCCCACTCACCCTGAAGGAGGTTCTCGGCCCCTTTTGACCTCACAGGGGGCAGTGCAGGGGAAAGCGCTAGTTCTTCATCCCTGGTTCAGCTCCTTTCCCTCTTCTGAACAAACCAGGTCCACAAATCCGAGGGGCACTCACAGCCCCACATCAGCAGTGGGAAGCCCCAGGCTGCCTTGTCTACCTCGGGCAAGTGTCACTCTTGTTCACAGGAAAACGGCATATCTACTGAAGGACATGGAGAAATGCCATCATGTATATGTTACTGTGATGTGTGTGTGTGTATTTGTGTATGTGTGTATAGGCGTGTCTGTATATGTGTGCATATACATATATTTGTGTGTACAAATATACATATTCATGCATTTGTGTGTGTGCGCGTGTGCATTAAGATGGCAAAACTGCTTAGAAGGTTGGTACCTGGGCTTCCCATCTCCCCCAATGGTCCGTCTCTTCAGACTGAGGTTAAGAATCCAGGTCTAGGCAGAGAAGAGAGGGAGACTGCACAGCCCGGGTGGGGGACGGGGGACCCAGGACTTCACCCCACTACAGCCACCAGGAGACAGAAGCCACAAGCTCCTCCTGCTGGTGGCCTCAGCACAGTGGAGCAGTCTACGCCCTCAACCTTCTCTGCAACGTCCAGGGTGCAAGTTCAAATTCCGGAATCCTTGAGAAACTTGACCCCAACATGTACCAGCCTCGTGACCTGGACCACAGTCCTGAATGTCTCTAAGCCTCAGTCTCCTCATCCACAAAGTGGGTCAAATACTTACCTCATGAAGTGGTGGGGAGGATTACATGGAAAAGAAATGAGATCTGAAGGGCCTGGCTGATAGGACTCCTCCCCAACATCTCTCCAGTGAAACTGCCCCGGGTCCACAGGGACCTCCTCACTGGCAAACGCATCTCTCCAATGAAGCTGCCCTCAGGTCCACAGGGACCTCCTCACTGGCAAACACAACACCATCCTCTCCACACCCACTGGCTGCATTTCACACCTTTGTCAATTCTGCCCTCCATGAACTTCTCCCTTCCCATGGCACCCAGGGCACGGCGCCATCTTGGTTCTCAGAGCGCTGATCCCACCTTCTACTTTCTTCCTGGCTCTTCTACCCACGCTGTCTCCACATAGGCGCTCCCCAAGGTTTTCTACCTCATCCTCGCCTTTCCCCTGACACGCTCTTCCTGGGAGATCTCAGCTACCATGGAATACGGGGGCACCAGCCCCTGCCCTCACAACTGTCCACTGCTCTGTCCTTAACAAGGCGTGCAGAGTCTGCCCCCCATTTCTCGCCACCT